ATATAAGTCCATGGGTCGATTCTCAGTATGCATGCCCAAATGATCAGCGAAGTCCGATGACATCCCGATGCTCGGGGTGGCATGCTACAGTACCGGTTGGCACCTGGTAAGTGAGAAAAAGCTAGTCTTGGCCCAGTAAGCGGCAAGATTCATCCCGGTTTCCAAGTTTAGTCATTCCTTGTCCGGATCTCGGCAGGAATCATCCCGGTAGTACCCGGTAAGGCCGTTTAGCCCGTTATTGACTAGTTTCTCGGCAGGAATGGTCTTAGAGTCGTTCGTTGGGCCCGATAAGCTAGTTTTGACATAGTTAAGTAGCAGGAATCTCCCGGTTGTACCCTGTTGGCGTTTTAAGCTCGTTCTGACCCCGTTATAGGTCATAACTCATCCCGGTAAGGTCATGGCTCATCGTAGGAGCGGGACGACCGAGTGGTCGAGAACCAAGATAGTTGGAAAAGTGAATTAAAGCTTAGTCGAGGAAGAAAGAACCTCGTCTAAAGTCCAATGTAGCCACAAAAGGGCGCGTAAAGTATATTGGGGCTAGAGTTCCCCGTAAGGCTGGCCATGGTCGAGCTTAAATCATGGCGCCGCACGGTTGAAAAATGTACGACCGTGACACCACGCACCCAATAGGAAGCAGCAAGATGCGGCTCTAAGGAACACTATTGTGCATAATATTCGGCGGCCAGAAGAAGAATAGTGTGAAAATGGGTCCTGTTTTAAGCAACAAAGACATTTTAAGGTGGCTATGCCCAAAAGAATACATGTCCACTATATTTGGAAGTTTATTACGCTATCAACACGCAAATTTTATTTTTTATATATGTGCAAAACAGAAACAAGTGCTCACAAAAGACGAGCGGCGATATGAAAAACACTATGAACAACACGGCGACACTATAGGCAACACATTAAACGGCAAGCTTGGAAATGTATAAGTACCTCGCCGACGACCAACGTGGAAGAAGAGAGCAAGTTCGGTAATCCTTTGGGCGGTCTGTTGTGCGGTCGGTTGTGCAACTTGTTGTGCGGCTTTCTGTTTCAAACAAAAAAATAAGGTATATGTATTAACAAAAACAGAAGGCTAAAAAAAAATTTCACTTATCGAAGATAAGAGAAGAATTCAATAGCAAATAGTGCGGAGATTTTGGTAGATGAAGGAACTAAAGTGGGCAAATCGAAGTCAAAGTAAAAATGCAAAGACATGGAGGTGGGCGGTGGCTACCAAAGGAAAAAAGAGAGGGAACACAACATACTTCAAAGCTAGGAAACCCTAACTTTGAAGTGAGGGCTTAATGTTGGAGGAATTATAGAAAGGGGCTTGACAGCTCATGAATTGGAAAGGAGTTGCGCCCAAAAGGGCCCAACTCATTGAAGAAGAAACCAATGCACATAAAGTGTGCTTAGTTGCACAATGCGTGGTATTATGCCACACATTGTGCGACACCTCCCTCCCAACCTGAAAGGCTGGGAGGGGGAAAGTTGGGCGGGCCTGCCGCCTCGTGGTGGTGGGCCCTGATTTTGTGTGGCTCATTGGGTCGCACCCCCCTTTTCAACCACTTTCTTTGACCGCCGCCAATGAAGCCATGACCATAGTGCAGATATTGGACGCAAGGGACCCATCGACGCTTTTGTGCATTTATTGGTCTCATTATAGAGCCAATTATAGAGCGGCAATTGACTTTGACAAACTTCCTTTAACTTTTCCAACGCCTGTTCACATTGCCACAAAAAACTATAAATAGAAGAGAGGTATGTCATTCTCTCTCGAACAATTCACTCGAGATTTGCTCATTTCCTCTCTTCCCCACTTAAAGCTCATCAACTGAGTTAAGCATCGGAGTGTGGTCGACCGACACCACATCAGTGTTTATTCTCTTATTTTCTTTCTTATTGCAGATCCAAGCTTCTCCAAATTTCCAAATCAAATCTTTATCCAAAAATTCGACAGTCGATTCCACGGGTTACTTGGTTTGCTCGACTCGACGTTTGACCCGACCCGAATTCCCAAAAATTGCATCAACAGTATGTTTGAGAGATTATTGTAATGTCTATTGTATTATCCCAAAATTATAGTAAAATCCGTTGTCGCAGAAAGTACTTTTTTGTATATGTTACATATATTTTATAATAAAAGGTATATATTATATAACCTAAATAGGTATGTTATCATTAGGTTAAAAAAGTATATATTCTATAATTATTGTTGGAAAGCTAAAAAGCTAGAAAAATTAATAGGCCGTCGGAAAAAGGAAGAGCGGTCAAAATAGTAAAATAAAGTCGCCGATTGAAGATGGGATGAAAAATGTTGCTTGAATGATTGAAAGAATGGGTTGTCATGAAGGAAAATTTCGCCTTATACAATGAATTTCTCAAACCTTGCGTGAACATAGAAGAGAATTCGCGAGCGATAAGTGAAATTTGGAAATTCTTTTAATAAATCTGAATTTTTAATTTTTTTTGTTTTTTGTCAAATAGATTGTTAAATTCATCGGTTCAATGCTGAGGTGTCACAAAGGTGAAAGAAACCGATCCGATCCGGAAACAGAACCGCCGGGTTTAGCATTAACAAAAACCGACCCGAACCGAGAAAACACGCCGCGCCACGCCTTTAGGTCAGCGTAGAAAGGAAACCAGCGGTCAGCGACGGTCGCTTGCGCTCTCTCCCTCTGTAGCGGACGGCGACGGCCACGAGCAGTATCGAACCCGCGCCAAAGAAGATGGAGCCAGAGAGCGAACCAGACATTTCGTTGCCATAAATCCCCAATTTCAACGTCGCCGGTATGTCCAATTTCTTCTGTTGGGTTCTAATTTTATGAATCGATTTTCAATTTTATCTGGGTCATGTTCGGTTGGTCGTTCGAAGTGATTTTTCTAGCTTGCCCATTTGGCTTCAGTTTTGGTGAAATAGTGGAATTTATTTTAAGAAAACACACTCTGATTATGTTGCTTGTTGTTAGATATCCTCGTATCCTGTCAATTTGTTGCAAGAAGATGAGGTTTGTTGTGAAAAAAAACAAATCTAGCTTTGGTTTTTGATCGATAGATTCCAAGTTGAATTACGAGTTTGAAGTTTGGGAGAGTTTTGGGATCATCTACGAACTGTTGTTTGGCATTTTAGAAGTTGAGAGAATTGTGGAGAGAAGAGAAGAGAAGACAACTATTATTCAAGTTTTCCTCTTTAAAAAACGCCAATAAACCAACCCGACCCAAATTGGTTCAGACTCAAATCGAGTCGAGTTCTTTTACTATTAAATCGAACTGATTCGATTTACCTCATTTTATCAGAAAACCAACCTGACCCGACCCGTTTCTCACCCCTATTAATCACATTGGGGGTATTATTTGAGGATCACAGATGAACTTATTTCGAAAAAGGTTCAAATATTTAGCGGCATAAATACTAAATTAAATTATGAAATTAACATAAAAGATCTAATATTAAAAATTTTTCAGAATACAGTGACTAAATACGTATAGCTTTAAAAATTTAACTCGTTTAATATTATTTATCTTGTTTTAAATGGGAACACTTTGAAAATATGCAAGCAAAGCCACTCACTTGCGTGTTGAAGCCTTAATTGATTGTGATGTGAAAAGTCACCCACTTGTTTGCTTTTCTTTTTTGGAAAATACTTAAGACTCCGACGAAATTTTATTTCCAGTGCTGTTGAAAAATTGACAATTTATTATTTTTAAAAAAATCTCTTTTTACATTTCTTTTTATTATTTATCAAACATTTAATGATAGTTACGACAAAATTAGTTCTCCTCAGTAAAGGGTCTAAGTATTTTCCTTTCTTTTTTCTCCCACACAAGCTGCTTCCACTACCAAGTCAACCGTCAAACTCATATAGCTTTTTCTACAAACCTACCCTCTGACATGATATACACGTTCAATTATTGATCTCTTCTTGAAAAATATCCTGTGGAGAGTTTGGATCTTCTTCAGTATTGGAGTTCTTTTGGGAAAGTGATTGAGGAGCAGATATGGCTGAATTCCTGTGGACTTTTGCTGTGCAAGAAGTGTTGAAGAAAGTACTGAAACTTGCAGCTGAGCAAATTGGTGTGGCATGGGGCTTAGACAAGGAGCTTTCCAAATTGAGGAAGCGGTTGCTCAAGGCAGAAACCATTTTAGGTGATATTAACAGAAAAAAATTACGCCATGAATCTGTAAGGCTGTGGGTAGAGGATCTTCAACATCTTGTTTACCAAGCCGACGATCTGTTGGACGAGCTTGTTTATGAAGATCTTCGACGAAAAGTGGAAATAGAAAAGATAAACAAGGTGCGCAATTTCTTTTCACTCACCAATAATCCCTTTCTGTTCCGTAGCAAGATGGCCAACAGTATGAAAGCCATTAGTGAAACTTTGTATCAACATTACTACGAGGCTAGTGCTTTAGGACTGGTTGGTGAGGAAACCACAGAAACAGATAATAAGAATATTCTTAAGCAGATTCGAGAGACAACTTCAATTCTTAATTTTGAAGTTATAGGAAGAGAAATTGAAGTTCTGAACATAGTGAAACTTGTGATTGACTCGAGCTATGAACATCGTATGTCGATCATACCCATTGTGGGTATGGGTGGACTTGGGAAAACAACTTTGGCAAAGATGGTCTTCAATCACGAGTTGATTAAAGAACATTTTGATAAATCTATATGGGTATGTGTTTCTGAATCATTTATTATTATAAATATTTTGGAAGGGATCTTTCAAAGTCTAACGAATACTTCAAGTGGCTTGAACTATAAGGAGACCTTACTTCAGAGGCTTCAAAAGGAAATGCAAGGTAAAAAATATTTTCTTGTTCTTGACGATGTTTGGAACGAAGAAGTTAGTTTATGGGGTGAGTTAAGGGATTGTTTAAATGAGATTGCTGGAAAATCTGGAAATAGTATAATTGTAACCACGAGGAGTATAGAAGTTGCAACTATCATGATGACAGTTCCTAGTCATCATATAAGAAAATTATCAGATGATGAATGTTGGACCTTGTTCAAGGAGAGTGCAAATGTAAATAGATTATTAATGAATCCAGAGTTGGAGATCATTCGAGAAGTGGTTGTCAAAAAAATTGGTGGAATACCACAAGTTGCAAAAGTTTTAGGAGGGGCAGCGAAGTTTGAAGGAAACTATGAGAGATGGGTAACTGCAGTTGAAAGTATAGTAAGAAATATTTCAAATGATGACAAAGACTTTGTTATGTCCACATTAAAACTAAGTGTGGATTTTCTACCACTTCTTTCATTAAAGCAATGTTTTACATTTTGTTCAAATTTTCCAAAAGATTGGGAATTTGTTAAAGAAGCCTTAATTCAAATGTGGATTGCACAAGGATTTATTCAACTACAAGAAGGAGACGACGTAACGTTGGAGAATATAGGAGAAGAGTACTTTAATTTCTTGTGGTCTCGCTCCTTATTTCAAGACATCTCTAAGGATATGAACGGGACAATTACTCACTTTAAAATGCATGATCTAATACATGATGTTGCTTGTATTATTTCAAATCAAAGGTTGGAATTCGATCCTTGTAATAGGAGTGAAAAAGGTGTAAGAAAGTTACGCACGTTAGTTATCAATGACGAGGCGACAATTCATAAGAAGTTGGAGGATTTTGTTTATTTGCGTGTTTTAGTAATGCATTTAGATGGTACCCGAAGCCTTTTATCAGATTATTCAATTGGTATGAATTGGTATGTTAAAGCATTTGAGGTATCTTGACATTAGAGAGTATAGAATAGGGAGGCTGCTTCCAGAATCTATTACTATGCTTTATAATTTGCAAACACTAAAACTTGGAATAAGATTAGATCTTCCAAAGAATTTGAGAAAATTGGTCCGGCTAAGACATTTGGATTTCTACATTTACAGCATCCAAATGCCTTTATATATGAGTCAATTGATTCATCTTCAAACATTTCCTGCATACTTGGTAGGTTTTGAGAAAGGTTGTATAATTGAAGAACTTTGACGTTTAAATGACCTTAAAGGGTCATTGCAACTTTTAAATCTCGAGCGAGTGAAAAGTAAAGAAGAAGCGGTAGCTGCAAAGTTGACGGAAAAAAGGAACTTATGTGAACTAACCCTTGGTTGGAATATTTCCTCTGAAAAAGAAGATAACAGTCGCAATGACTTGGAAGTGCTGGAAGGACTTCAACCACACAAAAATCTTCGATCATTATCTATTTTTAACTTTGGCGGACAAGTTTTGCCTACTGGTGTTTTTGTTGAAAATTTGGTTGCAATAGTTCTACACGAATGTCACAAATGTGAAGTGCTTCCAATGCTAGGCCAATTACCAAACCTGGAAGAACTCAACATTTGGTCTTTGAATAGTGTGAGAAGTATAGGAAGTGAGTTCTATGGCAATAACTCGAACCCAAGGGAACAAATATTCTTTCCCATGTTGAGGGAACTTTCCTTCAGTCGCATGCAAAAGCTTGAGCAGTGGGAAGAGGTATCATCAGATGGCATTGCTTTTCCTCATCTTGAAGCCTTATCTATGGTCACTTGTTCCAAACTAATGAGAATTCCAGATCAGTTTGTATCTCTTCGATTTCTGAGAATTGTGGGATGTGAAGAATTGAGGAAATTGCCAAGTAAATTAGAATGTTGCAATTCCATCGAGTCTCTGATTATTTCTGGTTGTCCAAATTTGAGGCTGAATGTGGATAATATGTGCAATTTGAAGGAAGTAGAGATTGTTGGACGCGTGCAAGAGTACGATTGTTGAACTGCAACCCCACTTCCTATACAGCTTCAGCATCTCGTAACCTTGAAAGCCTTAACAAAAGAAATCTTTAATGGTATTGAAGCTCGGAATGGTTGGAAAAGCTTGCATCTTTGGGAACATTGGGTGTTTTTATTGCGATAATTTGAAACGATTACCTTCGCAACAAGCCACGCTACTACTCGGCCAAGGCGATGCAGAGGGGGCCAAACTTTCACATCTTCCCATCGACACAATTGATGTAAGTTTGTAGCCTTTACCTGTCAAATATTTTTCGGTCTCATTCAAATTAATATAATATGTTTAGTTTGGAAGAGTTTTTGACATTTAACTTTCTTTATCTAGTGGAAAGACTTTTCATCTGTGGAAACTTTGGATATTGTCCATTCGAATATTTGGAACAAATGCCTTCTAGAGAAGGCAGGTCAAACTTTTCCATCTTTGGATAAATTGTGTTGAGGTACCATTCTTAACCTTTTATTGTTATGTTTTGCTTTCCGGATGAGTGAATTGATCAGCTTTAGTTAAATTTTTTCATACAACTTTTTTTCTTTTTTTAGTTTAACAGTGTTTTGAGTTGTGGATTTGAACATCTAACTATGTATAATGGTTTGTAATTTTCCCATTTAAAGATTATGTGTATGTTTTTTCTTTTTTTGTGATTGTCACTTGGAGAAAGGGTTAGTATTATTGAGTAGTTTTTATATAACAATATAACATATATGTTCATGTTGTAAGTGTCTTTTTTTTTGTTTCCCTCAAAAGGAACGATCAATTCACCATTCTTTCTTCAAATTTACTTAATAATACTAACCCATTCTCTAAGTGACAATCACAAAGGCGGCGTGGCTCATGAACATCGCTCTCAGTAAGGCCTGCCGGTGACAAAAGTTGTTCAATTTTCTACGCATCTCAAGGAAATTAGTTCGACTCATTGTCGCAGAGAAGGTAACATAGTAGTTCATGAAGCGGCAAAGGCGGCGGTGGATGAAGATCTCACTGCTGTTTGGCTGGAAGAGGCCCCATCTACATTGCATCATGTTCTCCAAGAGGATCTAGGGCACATATCGGATCGAGGGGTTCATTTATTTTGATCCTGTGTTTTTTTGTTTTTGTTCTTTTTGCTATTATGTCAAACGAAAAAAAGTGACAATCACAAAAATGACATAAGAAGAAAGAACCAAATTAAAATTTTTGTTATGTTTTGCTTTTTGGACAAGTGAATGGATGCTTTTGTAGGTTTTATGCTAAACTCACGGTTTGTAAATGTAAAACAAATATTTATTCAATAAAGATGGTATTGAAGTTCTTTTAGCTAAATCAATAAACTAACCTCCTAGGTTATGTTATGTAACTAGAATAGTATATAATTGATATACAGTATATAATTGATATATGAGATATATATTTAATATACGGTATATATTTGATATACAAGTGGATAATGTTCAAGTAATAATTTAAAGGGTCTATATTATATAGGTAAGGTTGGGTACTTTATGCTGGTAATATTATGGATACAACCCACTTTGTAAGAGTTACAAACGATTTAATTCAAATCGTTTATGTGGAGAAATGTGAGTGGGAGTATCATATGCAATGAGTTTGTGTTTGGGTATTTTGGATTCAAAATAAATGAGAGTGCAAGTGTACACCCGTCACAAGTAGTAAAAACAGAACGAGTATTCCGAGTATCGATCCTCAGGGACAAATGAAGTCTTTTTATAGGAAATGTTAATGATCGGTGATTTTGTAATTGAATTTGGAGTGACAAATAATAAGGATAATGTTGGTTTTGATATTTAAAAAACTCAATGCAATAAACCCAGCCCAGTTACTTCAAATTAGCTAAAAATACACAGACTTTTTCCAACTAGGCGCCAGGCGCCTCTCATAAATTTTCTTCGGTTTACTTTGTCATCTTCTTATGTCTAAGTGATTTTGAAGGTTTAAGTCAATTCCTAATATGTCTATTAGAAAAAAGAACTTGATTTAGTAAAAACCAACCGTAACCTTAGGTCGAGGTCCTATATCTAGGCTACCCGAGCGAAATCTTTATGTCTAAAGTATTCCTCTCTAAAGTTAAATCAGTAAAGTTGTGAAAACGTATCAACCTTTTCAGTATTGATGTTTGGTTAAAACATTAATTGGCCAAAACAAGTTTCAACTTATGGAAACAACTTTAGGTGATAAAAGAGGAGAAAAATGTCTTTTGCCTCGTTGGATTTTAAAAACTTTAACTAACTATCCATAACCGGGCTTGGGAAAAATAATTTAGCTCATGATGATAAAGGAAAAGCAGAATTTAATGTTCATGGAAGTAGACGACATAATTAAAAGATGAGTAGAATTTAACAAGCTGGAAATTGTGGAGTTGCAACCCGAATGACCCTAACCCGTTCTCTTTCAAGATTGGGGAGCAGTACTCGGTCGATTCTTCAAGGTTGAGTGATTACAACTTCGTAATGAAAATGAGAGAGATAAAAGTAACAAAGAACTTGCTGGAATTTTAATTAAACAAGACTAAAACTTACAATTGAAGAATAATAAGCTGGAAAATAAGGAAAAACTTGAAATAAGTAAGGTTAAAACAATAACAACTCAAAAACTTAAAGGGAAAAAGAAAACAAGCTGAGAAGTAAATGCCTAAAGCTGAAATGATCACTCCGGGATGATGAATGAAGAGAATGAATTGTTGAATTTATAGGGACTTCAAGGTGGTTAGGAGGTTGAGAGCTTTGTGGAGAGCCATCCATTTCAAACACCTTTTGGTTGGGTAGTTGTTGAATTGGCAACCTTTAATGTATGGAAGACACGTGGCAGAGCTTTGGAAGGCTTCAAATCACACCAAAACGTGCGTTTTACATTAAGGGCAATCTCGGGATTGGGGAAGGCGCTAGGCGCCTAGCTCGATATTTTTCTGCACAAAAGTGTAATTTTCGTTAGAAATCAACTCTAAATGATGTAAAAACGTCTTATGTGCATGTATAACCCAAGATAACTTAAAATGAAAGGTTTTGGATACTATACCAAGCTTAAATCACGGTTTCCGAGTTTAAAACGTTAGAAAACAGCACACATTTAGTTTCTTTTTACCCTTATGAACAAGGGAAATCAGTTTGTATAAGATCGGACTGTGAAATAACTAATCTTTAACTATAACATCGTTAACTAATAGATTATTATTTAATAGGAAGACTAGGTAACTCAATCTTGAGTGAGTTATGAACTCTTGGTTGTAAGGGATCGTCATTTGATTTGTATTGGTGAGAGTGGCTCGGGTCGTCGATTCAATATTCCTACCATTTTCGGGATGAGACCAAGTGGGGAGTTGGGAACATAACTATACAAGATTAAATTTATTCCATCCCGACTTTAGGCTAAGTAGATGAATGTTCTCTTAAATGCTGACTTCGGGACTTGAATAAGAGGCCCTACCCTCACCTTCTCACTGGCTCGAAAGAGATTTTTGTTTAATGGTTAGGTTCTAACCAGGTTGTTCATTAGAAGATCAGTGGTACTAAGAAGAAAAAAGGTAACTCAAGGGTAAAATAGTAATTTGACCCAGCTGAAGTTACAAACACTCGTGAATGATTGACTTACTATTAATGCTCAATATTTATAGACATAAAATATTTTGTAGTGCAAAGAGTGTAGCTGTGGGTCTTTAGTAGAATGACTCACAGTTTACGAATGTTGGTTATTTTGGTTAACGAGTTTAATCATTTAATCTCGTATCGTTAGATCTTCTGATCGGTAAGTCCATTAGGTCACCTTGCTAGCTCACAACGGGTAAAACAAAGATCAAAACTTGTGAAAGAATTTGAAGGGATTCAACTTATTTAAGGGAATGTAAGTTAATTGTATAAGATACAATCAATATAATGTATATAGATACATTATAATATAAAGTTAATTATGAATAACATTAATAATTAGTTTATATATTATGAGAGTTATATTTGAATAAGATTCAAATAATTAATTAATATGAATTGGATTCATATTAAAACTATAGTTTAAAATTAATGTAAATGAGATTCACATTAAAACTATAAGTTACACACTTGAATATGATTGAAATAAAGTTTTAATTAAATATATGATCTTTAGTTATTATTAATTAATGTTAAGAGCACGCACATGCTTGATTGCCCTATTAAATTTTATGGGGCATTCCATATCAAAACTAATTGATTATAAGAAGAGTAGCTCATGTCTATTATATTTTGGCTCATCGATCTTGGCCGATTTTTTTGACTGGATGTTCGTTAGAGCTTTTGAGCGCTGATACCATATTAATATTCATGGGGTTCCATCTCAAAACCAATTGATTATGAGAAGAGTAGCCCATGTATATTATAAACCTTTGTAAGATCCCTTATCTTTTCAATATGGGATCCTTAACAAATTGGTTTTGAGATGAAACCCCATGAATATTTAATATGGTATCAAAGCCCAAAAAGCACAAACGAGCATCTGGTCCAAAATGGGATTCAGTCAAGATTGATGAGCCAAAAGAGCCACGATCTTGAGGGGGCATGTTAAGGATTTCACATTGATAAAAGAAGAGACCTTACATAGGTTTATAATAGACCTGAGCTACTCTTCTCATTGCCAATTAGTTTTGAGATGAAACACTATAAAATTTAATAGGACAATCAAGCATGTGTGCGCTCTTAACATTTAATACTACCTCACGTTTGTTCGAGTCGGATTTAATATGTTTTTAATAAGGCTAGGGGGTACAACGTGCACTTACCCCCAATAAGCATAGCTTGGTCATTAGCTAGTCTGTGTGGCATTTGCTTACTCAAATAGGTCGTAGGTTTTATTACTATAACTTGGGAATACATTGACACTCCCTTTTTATTGCAGTGATTTCACATCGATTGGTAGTACACCCTTAGACCAGATGCTCTGCATTCTAGAAGTGTGGTAGCCGTTTGCCATCAAGATCAGCCAACCATGTTGGTATCTGAGCGTATTATGTCCTTCACTTGGTAAAAAGACCTTCCTGAAGTAGGTTATTCCAAAGCTCTGACATGTTGCAAGACCTTTTAAAGGACTATGTCGTCCACCTTGAAGTTTTGTGCCTTAACTCTGGAGTTGTGATACTGAGCTACAAGATTTATTCGGCCAACTGAAGTTGGTAAGCTTCTCTCTTTTCATCCAAAAGGTCAAGGTTTAGAATGGGGCCTTTCTCGTTTATGCCAGACCCAAATTCCTCCACTCAAGCTGTAGGCATTCCGACTTCTACGGGTACAACTGCTTCTGATCCAAAGGCTAGAGCGAAGGGTGTTTAGTCGATTGATCCGCACACAGTTGTTTCGTAAGACTAAAGTACTTCTTGTAGCTCTTTTGCCCATCTATCTTTCTGACATTCAAGCTTTAAATTAACCCTCGTTTGATGATCTTCTAGATGGCTTCGACCTAGCCATTGGCTTGTGGATGTGCGGGCGACGAGCTAAAATGCTTGATTCTAAGCTTGCAGCAAAACTTATTGAACTTCACATTGTTCTTTTATAGGCAACTGGTGAGAGACAAGGCTGTTATGGTCGTTCCATGATAACACACTTTGTGAGCTACATTTCATGAGATTTATATTGAAATTATTTGTTAGTTTTCTTTTCTTCATGACAAATTTAAGCACATCAAATATATTTTGCAGGAATAAAGATAAGGAGGAAACAAGACTTATTTGGGTCAAAATGAGAGAAAAATCGGAATGAAAGTGACCAAGATGGAATAATAACAAGATTTGAAGCCAAAAACCCGAGAAGATAGCGCCACGACGCTAGCCTAGAGCGCTGCGGCGCTCCGAAGTTTAAATTTCGCGTTTTGTGAATAGTGTAGCACCATGGCCCTGTGTGTAGCGCCATGGTGCTGCCGCAACAACTTTTTATAAAAATAGGGTTGTGCAGCCGCCAAGAAGGAGGAGTTTGGGAGAGGTTTTTTGGCAGTTTGCCTTTTTGGCCAATTTGGAGGGCGAAGAGACCATTGGAGAGCTTAGGAAAGTGATTTTCAAGGCTCGGGATCGTGGAGGTCGCTTCGGGGACAAACGATTGACACACCGAACATAGTTTCTTCTCCTTTCTCTTGATTTTTCTAGATTTGTTATAGACTTCTCATTGTGATTTTATTGTTTTCCATTGAATATGAGAAGCTAAACCTCTCATCTTAGGGATTGATGTAGCCATTGAACTTTATGCATTGATTGTTTAGTTTTCTTGGTTGAATGTGTATGAATGTTCTATTTATGCTTCTCTATGCTTAATGCCTTGAATCTACTGACCATAGATTGATTGATTTTAGACTTGAAATCTTATGCTCGGGAGAGGTGGTTTAGAGTTGAACTGGGATGCATAACTAAAGAGGTTTTAAGATCGGGAGATTTAGAAGTTCTTTAGAGGTCGTTAAAAGACTTGTTCAATAAAGCTTTTATTTGTTATAAAAATTAGATAGAGATGTTGGTTTCATAATTGGCAAGGAGAATTAGCTTGCGCTTGGGAGAGGCAGTTGAGATTTGAGAGTTCATGGCCTATACAATTAATAAGTCGTTCAATCTTGATTAATTAAGTAGTTGGTTCATAGATTAAATAGGTGACACCAATTCCCTATGACTTTTCTTCCCATTGTTTTTATCTTTGTTATTGCATGTTTATTTCCTTTGATTATATTCTCCAATTTAATTTTGATTCTCTCAATAAAATTGAGCGATTGTATCTGTGGTACTTGAGTGATCTAGAAATCCAATCCAGAGGACGATATCGGTATTTGACTTATCACTTTATTAAAGCTTGACCCATACACTTGCGATAAGCAATTTCTGCTACATTCCAACATGCCTGTAGTTATGTGGTTATAGGCTATCGGACCTAACGTAGTTACTTCATGAGTTAGGAGACAACTTAGAGATTAGCTTGTCCCGAGCTCTACAGGTTGGCCCATACGGTAAGTCGGTCCCTTGTCTCAACTTATTGGGACAAATCTTCCATCTATCATAATTTGTCCACGTGGTATGTCAAATTTTACTCACCAAAAAATTTTAACATGTCACATTGTGTATTATTATTTGAGGATATGAACTTATTTCAAGAAAGTTCACATATTTAAAGGCACAAATAAGCCACCATTCAATCAAAAAACTTAAGTTAATGGGTCGGGTAAATATAATTAATTCATTGGATATCTAACAAAATTAACATAAGGATCCATTGAGAAGGGAGTATAGAAGACTAGTTAGGTATTGTTTTGAAAATTTATTGAGCGTTATTAAAAACTTTTAAAAGTAAGGGGCAACTTGAGATATGACAAAAAAAGTGAGGAAAATAAGCAAAATAGCAATAAGGTTTGAGTTTTTTAAATATAGCATTTTTTTGGCAAAAAAACGAAGGCCCACGTTATAAATTACAAATATACCTTGCACGCCCGAACCAACAATAAATTACTTCTGATTGACTTCTGATATACTAATGATTGACAGATATACTCTTGATATATATGTGATATATGTTTGATATACATATGGTATGAAATTGATTTACTTGTGATATAACTATGATATCTACTACTATAGGTGACATAGAATTGATTGACTTCTGATATACTATTGATTTACTTATGATATAACTATGATTGACAGATATACTCCTGATATATATGTGATATATATTTCATATATATTTGATATGAAATTGATTTACTTCTGATATAATTATGATATATACTACTATAGGTGATATAGAACTGATTGACTTTTGATATACTATTGATTTACTTATGATATAACTTTGATTGACAAATATACTCCTCATATATATGTGATATATGTTTGATATACATATGATATGAAATTGATTTACTTCTGATATAACTATGATATCTACTACTATAGGTGATATAGAACTGATTGACTTCTTATATATTATTGATTTACTTCTGATATAACTATGATATCTACCAATTATTTCGAACATATTACCTCTAATATATATTTTATGATATACTAATATATGAAATAAATTTTTTTTTTCAGACAAAAGTAATGGTACAAACACGAAAAATGAAATAAAAAAACATCGTAAAAAATGTTGATGTCGTTCGTCCCAAAAGACAACATAAACCAATGCCAAAAGTGTTGTCTTTGGAAAAACGGAAAGCTTCAAAGATAGTATCTCCGAAAACAAGACAATCACCAAGAACGAAGATTGATGTCTCAAGCTTTTACCTAAAGATTATACAAGAATGAAACTTACACTTTTCTAGACTGTTGGAACTTATGCTTCTGGAACTTATGCTTCTTCTTTCATAGAATTTTAAGAATGACATTGTTAGTCTACTTTTGGTTTATGCTACTGGTTTGTTTTGATGTTTAAACCTTTAAGTTTTTGGTTGAAGGACTTTGCTGCTGATTTGATGTTGATGTTAATACCCAAGAATGATATTTAAACCTTTTAAGAATGACATTGTTGCTGCTTTCATTTTGATCTTTAAAACTTTAAATAAAACTTAATTGTACTATTGATATATGTACAATGTATACTTGATATATCACTGATATATTATTGATATACAGAAAAACCCTAAATTTCTATTTACCTCTAATTTCTAATTGATTTCTCATTCACAGTAATTTCGAAAATCACCATTGACGTTCACATTCACGTTCCTTTCAAGTTTTCTTTCTCATTTTCAGTAAGTATCAAATTTTTTTTCTCATTTTCCATGCATGCCAATACCTACTAATTTCTAATTGATCAAAAAAATACAAGACAAAGAGTTAAAGCAGGTAAAATAGTGATTTACTATTATACAACTGATATAAAACTGATTGACTTTTGATACTATTGATTTACTTCTGATATACTAATGTTGTCAGATGTACTCCTGATATATATGTGATATATGTTTGATATATAATAACGAAGCGATAACTGAAAAGGGTAATTTGGGAATAATGAAAATTTTAAAATCAGAATTTTCAAAAAAATACTATATCTGAAAATATCAAAAAGACATGCTATTTTGTTAAATATAGAAAACTTATACGCCACCCATTACAAATCCCCTGAAGTAACTTAATAGTCACGAAGTCTAAATATCAAACTTACAATAATTGTTTAACTCGTTCAATATTTATATTGTTTTAAATGGAAACTGCATACTTTGAATAAATCCAAGAAGAGTCCACACACTTGCGCGTCTGAGGCCTTATAAAATTGTTTGTGATGTGGAAAGGCACTCAGTACTTTTTGTTTTTATTGTTGTCTCTCACACCAGCTTTCCAAGTCAACTCTCAAACTCAGGTTTTTTTGCCTCGAGCCTTCCCTGTGACAAATACAAGTTGGATCTCTTCTTGAAAAATAACCGGTGGATCAGAGTTTTGATCTTCTTAAACATTGCAGTTCTTTTGCGAAAGTGACTGAGGAGCAGAGATGGCTGAATTCCTGTGGACTTTTGCTGTGCAAGAAGTGCTGAAGAAGGTAGTGAAGCTTGCAGCTGAGCAAATTGGTGTGGCATGGGGCTTGGAAAAGGAGCTTTCCAAATTGAGGAAGCGGTTACTCAAGGCTGAAGCCATTTTAGGGGATATTAACAGTAAAAAACTATGCCATGAATCTGTCAGGCTGTGGGTGGAGGATCTTCAACAACTTGTTTATCAAGCCGATGATCTATTGGACGAACTTGTTTATGAAGATCTTCAACACAAAGTGGAAATGGAAAAAATAAACAAGGTGCGAAATTTCTTTTCACCCTCCAATAATCCTTTTCTGTTCCGTAGGAAGATGGCCAAAAAAATGATGGCCATTAGTGAAACTTTATATGAACGTAGTGCGTTTGGACTCGTTTTTAAGGAATCCACAGAACCAGACAATAAGAATATTCTTAAGCAGATTCCAGAGACAACTTCGATTCTTAACTTTAAAGTTACAGGGAGAGAAATTGAAGTTTCGAACGTAGTGAAACTAGTGATTGACTCGAGCAATGAACATGGTATGTCGATCATACCCATTGTGGGTATGGGTGGAATTGGGAAAACAACTTTGGCAAAGATGGTCTTCAATCATGAGTTGATTAAGGAACATTTTGATAAAACTATTTGAGCATGCGTGTCTGAACAATTTATTATTATTGATATTTTAGAAGGGATTTTTCAGAGTCTAACAAATCCATCAAGTGGCTTGAACTATAAAGAGACCTTACTTCAGAGGCTTCAAAAGGAAATGCAAGATAAAAAATATTTTCTCGTTCTCGATGATGTTTGGAATGAAGAAGCTGGTTTATGGGGCGAGTTAAGGGATTGTTTAAATGAGATTGCTGAAAAATCTGGAAATAGTATAATTGCAACCACGAGAAGTACAGAAGTTGCAACTATCATGAAGACAGTTCCCAGTCATCATCTAAGAAAATTATTAGATGATGAATGTTGGTCCTTATTCAAAGAGAGCGCAAATGCAAATGGATTATTAATGAATCCAGAGTTGGAGAACGTTCAAGATATGGTTGTCAAAAAAATTGGTGGAATACCACTAGTTGCAAAAGTTTTAGGAGGGGCAGCGAAGTTTGAAGGAAACTGTGAGAGATGGGTGACTACAGTTGAAAGTATAGTACGAAAAATTTCGAATGATGAGAAAGACTTTGTTTTATCCACATTAAAACTAAGTGTAGATTGTTTACCACTTCTCTCGTTAAAGCAATGTTTTGCATTTTGTTCAAATTTTCTGAAAGATTATCTATTTGTTAAAGAAGCCTTAATTCAAATGTGGATAGCACAAGGGTTTATTCAACTACATGAAGGAGATAACGTAATGTTGGAGGAGAATATGGGAGAAGATTACTTCAACTTCTTGTTGTCTCGATCTCTATTTCAAGACGTCATTAAAGATAAGTATGGGAGAATTACTCACTTTAAGATACATGATCTAATACATGATGTTGCTTGTGTTATTTCAAGTCAAAAGTTGGAATTAGATCCTCATAATTGGAGTGAAAAAGGTGTAAGAAAGTTACGCACGTTAGTTATCTATAATGAGACATAAATCCAAAAGAAGTTGGAGGACTGTGTTTATTTGCGTGTTTTAGCAATAAATTCAAATTTTAACATGCAAATAAACTCAATTTTGATTGAAAAATTATCATATTCAATCGGTATGTTAAAGCATTTGAGGTATCTTGACATTGGAGAGAATAGAATATGGTTGCAGCTTCCAAAAATCTATTACTATGCTTTATAATTTGCAAACACTAAAGCTTGGAAGAAGATTTCATCTTCCAAAGAATCTGAGAAAATTGGTTAGGCTAAGACATTTGAACTTCTCCTTCCTACCCAACTTCCCAAGCCAAATGCCTTTACATATGAGCCGGTTGATTCATCTTCAAACATTACCTGAATACATAGTAGGTTATGGGAAGGGTCGCAAAATTGAAGAGCTTGGACCTTTAAACGATCTCAAAGGGTCATTGCGACTATTCAGCCTCAAGCGAGTGAGAAGTAAAGAGGAAGCCATAGCTGCAAAGTTGATGGGAAAAAAGAACTTACGTAAACTAACCCTTAATTGGAGTACTAATTTCTTTGAAAAAGATAGCAACCACAATGACATGGAAGTGCTGGAAGGACTTCAACCACACAACAATCTTCAATCATTATCTATTCTTCACTTTGCCGGACAAGTTTTGCCTAATGGTGTGTTTGTTGAAAATTTGGTTGCAATAGTTCTACAAAAGTGTAGCAAATGTGAAATGCTTCCAATGCTAGGGCAATTACCTAACCTGGAAGATCTCAAAATTTCTCATATGAGTAGTGTGAGAAGTATAGACAGAGAGTTCTATGGAAATTATGGCTCAAAACAAAGTGTTTGTTTTCCCAAGTTGAGGAAACTTTCCTTCAGTTTCATGGAAAAACTAGTGCAGTGGGTAGAGGTATCAAATGGTATTGCTTTTCCTCATCTTGAAAGCTTATCTATGGACACTTGTTCCAAATTAAGGAGTGTTCCTGATCACTTTGTATCTCTTCGGACTCTAACAATTGATGGATGCGAAGGATTGAAGAAATTTCCAAGTAAATTAGAATGTTGCATTTCCATTGCGTCTGTGAAGATTTTTGACTGTCCCAATTTGAGGCTGAATGTGCATAATATGTGGAATTTGAAAGAAATAGAAATTGGTGGATGTATGGAAGAGTACGACTTCAGTTCTCTCATGCACCAATCTTCAGTTACAAATCTTTGCTTAACTGATACCTCAAGAAAAGCAATCCAAGTTCCTCGACAGCTTCAGCATCTGACAACTTTGAAAGCTTTAACTATAAAACACTTTAATGGTGTTGAAGCTCTGCCTGAATGGTTGGAAAAGCTTACAAATTTAGAAACATTGGAGGTTTCTTGTTGCGAGAATTTGAAACGATTGCCTTCGCGACAAGCCATGCTACGTGTTTGGGGGATGAAATACCCTAGACACGTGGAGGACAGCTATTAGTGCTTAGGATGACTCATGAGTCATGCCCAACTCGAACCGCCAAGATTGCCACCACCAGCGTTGACAGGTGCTAAGTATAAGGGCCGAGGTGCGACCTGGTC